TGGGGGGGGGGTCTCCCTCTTGCTTAGGTTGGTCTCGAACTCCTGACCTCAAGTGATCCTTCCCGCTTTGGCCTCCCAGAGTGCTAGGATTACAGGTGTGAGCCACCGCGCGGGCCCAATGCGAAGATCTTAAGTGTTGAGTTCAATTAGTTTTGACAACTGTACACGTTTGCGGGTTTTTTTCTTTTTACTTAAAAGATGTGCTAATGTGCGCTTGCATTTTCAAAGGATGGCTCCAGCTGCTGTGCAGAGGACGGCTTGAGACCAGCGCGGAGGGTACAGGGCAGGCTAGAGACCACCTGGCCTGGATTGCCAGGAGGTCGCCTAGCCACCAGGAGGCGCTGTCGTCGGGCCCACGGCTCCGCGCCGGCTGGAGGAGGCGGCCCCGCCCCCGCCCCGCGCAAGGGCCCGTAGGCAGCCCCGCCCCGCGAGGGGGGCGGGCAGAGGTTTCTTATTGGCCGGCTCCCCGGAAGCCACGGGTTCGGAATCTCGCCCGCAGCCTTGCGAGCCGGCGCGGCTGTGTGCGGTGCGCCGCGAGTGGTACGGGCGCGTGGCGGGGCAGAAGTGCACACCCCTAGCGCTGAACCGAGAGCTCCTGCCGCTGGGCCTGTTTCCTCCTGTTGCAGTAGCGGAGCCTGGCCCGCACCGGGCGGCCCACACCCTACTGCGCAGCCCACTACTAGCTTGGGGTGTCTCAGCGATTGGGACGGGACCCAGGGGGGTCGGGGATCCCCAGCGCCCCAGGCCCTGGTGCGTGACTGACCCTCCGGTTCCTAGAGCCCCCAGCGCAGGCCGGGATGTTCGTCCTCGTGGAGATGGTGGACACCGTGCGGATCCCCCCGTGGCAGTTTGAGAGGAAGCTAAACGACTCCATTGCTGAGGAGCTGAACAAGAAGTTGGCCAACAAGGTACTGGGTCTACGGGCTGGCGGGCCGGCCTTGGCACGGGAGGAGCCAGCACTGCCCACCCGGCTGCTGCAGGCTCGGCCTTTTGGTCGTGCCAAGCCTTGGCGCTGGGCAAGTAGCTTAATGTTTCAGGACCTCGTTTTCCTCACCGTGAAAGGGTATAGGGGGTCGAAGGATGTTGGAGGGGATCAAAAGAGAGGATGGGCTTGAAAAAGGGCGTTGTAACTGGGAACTGCTAGGTTCCACACTTCCAAATTACTTTACAACCTCAGGCAAGTTACTTACTCGCTGTGGGCCTCAGCTTCCATTTGTAAAATGGGGATAAAATGTTGCTGTCCTACCAACTATGCATTGTTTTTGTGAACATGGACCTTTCTAGTAGTTTAGAGTTAACCGTCAGGTTTATCCACTCACTCCTGCCACGCTTGAGTCCCTTACCGTCAGCTGGTCAGCCGCCTTCTCACTGCCCTTTCTGGAGTAACCCTCCCTCCTCAGTTATTCTGTGTGATGTCACTCTCTTTTCTTAGCACTTACCACACTCTTATTTTCTTGTTTGTTTACTTGGTTACTGTTTTTCTCTTTCCCTCTCTACCAGGGCAGGGACCTTATCTTTTTCCCTGCAGTATCCCCACATTGAGCCAGAGCCTGGCACAGAGTTCCTTAATTGTCTGTTGATTGAATGAATCAAACAGACCAGGTCTGCCCTGCAGTGTCCTATGAAGGACAGGTGTTCACACACCTGCGGAAGAAAGGCCCTTCATGGGGAAGGAGTGGGCAGGCAGCTTTGTTGAGATGGCCAGCTGAGATCTGATGGTGAGGAGGAGCCAACCAGTGGATTGCTATTGGGGTGGGTGGGGCTGGGTGGAGAGAAGAGCTGTACGGGCAGGGAACAGTGTGTGCAAAGGCCCTGTGGAAAGTGCCTGACCCTTTGGACAGTGGGGGCAAGGAGTGGGTTGGACGAGTGGGTGGGGCCAAGACACAGCCCTGTGGGACTTCGTAGTCAGGGTGCTGGTCTTCGTCTGTACAGCAGCAGGAGGTGACGGGCTGAGAAGGAGCCAGAAAGAGGAAGACTGGCTGGCTTTAGACATGAGACAGGTTCCTTCAAAAGAGGCTGCGGTTGGCCAGGTGCAGTGGCTCACGCCTGTAATCCTAGCACTCTGGGAGCCTGAGGTGGGAGGATTGCTTGACCTCAGGAGTTCGAGACCAGCCTCTGTGAGAGTGAGACCCCATCTCTACAAAAAATAGTAAAAAAAAAAAAATTAGGTTGTAGCACACCTGTAGTCCCAGCTACTCGGGAGGCTGAGGCAGGAGGATTGCTTGAGCTCAGGAGTTGGAGGTTGCTGTGAGCTATGAGGACACCACTGCACTCTTCATGGCGACAGTGAGATTCTGCTTAAAAAAAGAAAAAAAAAGGCTGTGGTTGAAGGAGGAAGGTGTACAGTTTCGGGGGTTGTTAGGTGGTGGAGAGAACTCATGGGGTCCTCAGCTGATGGCTCTGGTTACTTTGTGAAGTAGAAGGTGAGGGGCACTATGGGGGATGAGGTATGACCTCATGGAGAGAGAAGGTATGAAAAGTCCAAGAGGGAAGTGTGATCCCTTTGGGGCACAGGTCCTATTGAGACAAATCTTTATTTGAATCGTTGAATCATTTAAGGGGAGGCCACACGGAAGGAGTCTGTGGTCCCTCAAAGGGCATAGTTCTCCTTGTACTTCCAAAGCCACCTGGACTCTGGCCTCATCCTGGTGAGGTCTGGCCCCAGCTCCGAGTTCTCCAAGCTTCTCAGTGATCACTGGACAGTTCCTGCAAGGTTTACAATCGGGCGATGATGACTTAGTGGCAGATAAGCAGACACTGAGTAGCCAGTCATTTGGAACACTATGGTCTGGGGATGGGGGCATGGGATTTCTGCCCAATCTCAGGGCCTTGGCCATGTGTCACTCTGCCGGCTGTGGTCCCCGTGGCCGTGTCTGTGTGACTGAGATGTGAGCATAATGGAGACGAGCTGTGGTTCTGATGCTAAGCTGTGAGCTCCAGCGGGGACTTCGGGAAAGCGTAGGTTTAACGAGGGTTCCCTGCCATTCTCACTAGGAATAACCAGGATCCCCGGTGATCGTTATCTCTAGCGTGTGAGCCTGACACTAGGATAGGGTTTCACATCCATTATCTCCCTTTATTCAGCAGCCCTAGAGCCTGGTATTTCATTTTTGCAGATGGGAAGACTGAGACTCAGAGAGGAGAAGTGACCTCCTTGGTGGTCACACAGTGAGTGGTGAAGCTGGCCTTGGAACCTTGATCTGTCTTGTCACCAGAGGCCCTGCTCTTTCCAGAGCTCTGCATCCTCCTGAGGTTTCTGGCCGTGGTTACTTCCAGCAGAGCCCTGACTTGTTTCCACCTGAAGAGCGGGATAATCATGGCTTGCTTGTGGTTGTGAGGGGCTCAGGAAAGACCGCCTGGGGAGTGGGCCTGAGAGTCACTCTGTGTACCTATGCACACAGGTCGTGTACAACGTGGGACTCTGCATCTGTCTGTTTGACATCACCAAACTGGAGGATGCCTACGTGTTCCCAGGGGATGGTGCGTCACACACCAAAGGTGGGTATCTTCTCTTCCTAGGATGTTAGTTTTCTTGGAGCTCAGTTTTCTGTAGCAAAAGGTCAGGCGAAAGCCAAGTGTGGTGGT